TATTCAGACACTTTGACCTGACCATGTTTTGCTTAAGTGTTTTTTCTTTAATTGATAATGCAAACTTTTTACACCACAGACTGAACAAAATTAAGCATTGCTTGGTAATTGGTTGACCTATTACTGTATCTAATTGTGTACTTAAATTTAACAGCTGAATAATTTTTGGTTGATTGTAATCCATTACATACCTTTCTATCAAAGTTATCTGACATTATCAAGATGAATTTGTTCTGACACAGTTTAACTGTTCTTGTCATTTTATTACCATTTTCCAAACTATAGCGAATAAACTGTGATAATTTGAGAAATGTTGAAGGTGTCTGAATACATTTTGGTTTGACTATTTTATTATTATTATTATTTTTTTTTTTTTTTTTTACCTTTGTCTCAGACTATGAAAAAGATGATTACTGTAAAAAAAAAAATCCTTTGATTTTCTGGAGCTCAACCATCCAACTACACTTTCAACAGGTACTCGATATCCTCCTTAAAATGTGTATACAATTTAACCTTCAAATTGTAACTGGTTTCCTAACAATTATGCATTTTCATTTTTCAGTTTAACAAAACGTGTGAGAAAATTATTAAAATTACAGAATTACCTTGTGATGTATGACTGTTTATTGTTGGACATTGTTAGTAGACAAATAAGTAAATCTGTGAGTGGGTGAAACTAGTATTTCTCCTGAATATCCACAAGCAAAATGTGTCATTAGTTGAAGAAACACCTAAATGTACACTGTTTAAAAAAGGGTGAAATTTTCTGAAAAATCTGCAGTTGGCAGAATTTTACCGTAAAATATTGTAGCAACATTTTAAGTTTTATAACCTTTACAGTTTTATAAAATTTACAGTACAAACATTTTTTCATCAACTGAAATAATGTTCATATACCAAATTACTAAAATCGGTCACACAAATACAAAACACTATCATGGTTACACACAACACTAAAATAATGCAGTAAACATTAATTTAACATAAGATGTAACATACAACTCTATAATGTGCTTAACTGATGAGAAATAACTATGAAGCAGTTATTTCAATTTAAAAAATCAAATGTTGGCTGACAAACAGAATTCAGGGATTTTTTTTTTCAATGTATTTTAGGATGATCTATTCTTTTACACTCCACAGAACTGTGTATTTAGCAGTATTTTACTGTAAAATTACAAAATGAAATCCCGTTAGATCTATTAACAGTTTTTCACCATATACAGTAAGGAAACTTACCATTAAACAATTAACAGGTTTTTATAGTATCATTTACAGCCTTTTGCTGCTGAAATTTGTAATAATTTTCTACAGTGTATAAACAAGGAGGTTTACAATGAGCTGATTCTTTTTATGCTTTTTCTCTTTCAGTTTGTTTTCCAAAGAATGCATATGTCTGCAAGAAGCTTGTGGAAACACGACCTGTACAAGAACTGAGTCTTGAAGAATCTTGAACTACTGTCGCCTTTTCTCTCAGTTTTCTACGAAATCCCTCCATATTGTTTACTGTTAAGGCACACATCAACCAACATCACAGCATGAGAAGCTTCTGAAGGTTGTGCTGTAAACAGCACAGTACTAATGACATGCAAGAAATGTTACATTGACTGAATAGATCTAGACTGTGACTATGTTCGCTTTAAGGATCATTATTCTTATTGCACTTATTGTTCCTCTTAACTATAAACTTTGTTCTTGTCAGTGTGCTCGTGCTGAATATGAGATACACAAGCAATGCTGCCCAATGTGTGCCCCTGGTAAGACTGCAAGTTATAACATATAATGCTTAACTTTATTAATATATGTCATCTTTATGTGTTTATTTATTTGTTTATTTATTTACAGTATTAGAAGTTTGTTGTTGTCTGCTTTATTCTGCCATAAATCATTTGTTTTTATATATATGTATACAGTATCTCACAGAAGTGAGTACACCCCTCACATTTTTGTAAATATTTTATTATATCTTTTCATGTGACAACACTGAAGAAATGACGCTTTGCTACAATGTAAAGTAGTGAGTGTACAGCTTGTATAACAGTGTAAATTTGCTGTCCCCTCAAAATAACTCAACACACAGCCATTAATGTCTAAACCGCTGGCCACAAAAGTGAGTACAACCCTAAGTGAAAATGTCCAAATTGGGCCCAGTGTCAATATTTTCTTTATATACTAGAAAGTGGGCCAATTTAGTCCCAAGGAGTATTGAAATAGTACACTTACAAGTATACTACTAGTACACTGATATTTGTATACTTACTACATAAAGTATACTTAAAAATATACTTGAACTTTACTTAAGTATACTGACTAAAATAAACTTGAAGTATACTACTTTTTGGTAAGGGTGTTGTCACATGAAAAGATATAATAAAATATTTACAAAAATGTGAGGGGTGTACTCACTTCTGTGAGATACTGTATATATATATGCACACAAATTATAAAGGGCTTTTCTTTTACTTAATTAATTACTAATTAATTATCTGAAATTATAAAGGGCTTTTCCAATGCTTTCTAAATACTCTGATATTTTGATACTTTTTTTTCCCCAAAATGGTAAACATATTATTCAATATTGTTAGAAATCAACAACAAATTTTATGTGCTGCCTATTCAGGAAACCGTGTTCATTGGCACTGCACAGATGACACCAGCACAACTTGTGTTCCATGCCCTTCATTAACTTTCACTGATGAACCAAATGGCCTCACGGAATGCTTTCCTTGTACTGTATGTGATGCAAGTGAGTGTTTCCATTTCCACTTGATATGTGTTCATCTGAAAATGTAAGATTGATGGTGAAAATCTTGGTTCCCTGAGAAGGGAACAAGACACTAACATCCTCTAGAGGTTGCTGTGGGGAACGCCTTCAGCGTGGTGTCTGAAGTACATGTCTAAACACGACAATAACATTGGCTGGTGACAACCTATGACTTTACTACCGGCGCGACCATTGTATAAAAGGGTGCTGGGTGAATACGCCATCTGCTACATACCCGAGCTACATACCCAAAATAACTTACCTGATAAGGGCTGATATGACAAAAAGATGTCAAGTGCAAAGGGAATTGCAATGTACCAGAAATAAACACCTTCCACTGGACCAGAGAAGGAGATTTCCTATAGAATCCTCTCTCCAGATCCCATGAGCTGGACAGCCATCACTGGCCATAACCCAGCCCAAGCGGGAAGTGTTTGTCATTAGTATCAATGACAATACACACCTAGAGTGGAACCCAAGGTGAGGAACCTGGGTCTGAGGCGCATAGAAAAAGGGTACGATGCCCGCAGTGAGTAATCCTTACCATGTATATGGATATTAGAAAGTGCACAAGATGCTCAGCATGTGCGCTTGGCATAAACATGGATTTTAGCAACCTGGTATGACTGCATCAGAGACCTCTAGGGAGCGGAGTACTCGACTCTCAGTACAAGAGGAGAACTCACATGCTCGGCCTGGGAGCAGCATGCTCATAGGTGATCCTTCTGAAGAGAAAGAAGCACTGCCAAGCTCAACCATAAGGGCAGACCATCAGGGAGGACAAGGAAGCCCTATCAACCTGGTATGACTGCCTCACTGAGCTCAAAGGAGTGGAATACTTGACTCTCAGATTGAGAGGAAACCTCACATGGTCAAACTACACACATAACTCTGCTCCTGGTAGCAGCATGCTCATAGGCAACCCTCTAAATCGAGGGGAGCACTGTCAAGCTCCATTATATGGGCAGTTCGCATGATAGCGCAAGATAGGGCTCGGGGAGTGGCGTGCTCATAGGAGACCTTCTAAAGTAAGGGGAGCAGTGCCAAACTCAACCATGAAGCCAGTCCATCAGGGAGGCCAAAGGGAAGCCTATCAGCCTGGTGTGACTGCAACACAGAGCTTAGGGAGCGGAGTACTCGACTCTCAGATCAAGAGGAGAACTCACATGCTCAGTCTGGGAGCGGCATGCTCATAGGCAACCCTTCTGAAGAGGGGGGACCACTGCCAAACTCAACCATAATGGCAGCCCATCAGGGAGGCCAAGGAAGGCCTATCAACCTGATATGACTGCCTCACAGAGCTCAAAGGAGCAGAGTACTTGACTCACAGATTGAGACGAGAACTCATATGCTCAATCTACACACAGCAAGGCTTGGAAAGAGCCTGTTGAAAACATAGCTAGAGGAGGAGAACCGACAGTAATTGGGAATGTCTAGTAGACCACAAAACCCAAGATCACCAGAGTGAAGCGGATGACGTATTCTCCCGGTGCCCTTTTATACTATTTATACCGGTCGTGCCGGTACTGACGTCACAGGCTGTCGCTGTCCAATGTTATTTTTGTGTTTAGGCATGTGCTTCAAACACAGGTCACCTGAAGGTCAAGGCGACCGCTAGAGGATACAGTTCGAGTTCCCCCGAAAGGGAATCATGTCTGTTTATTTAAGTGATTTAAGAACTGAAGAGTTGCAAGCTAGTTGCTCCAGGAAACTGTCCCAAAAAAGAATATAGTGTAAGTGGCTTCAGATGTAACTGCGCAAGTATCTTCTAAAGCCTTGTTCAGACTGTCAGCCCAAATCCGATTTTGTGCATATCCGGATGGAATCTGATTTGAATAACTGACTGTCCACACAGTGTATCGCAACTGTTCATATCCAATTTGTGTGTCCAAAAGCGCTCTTTTGTTTTACGGAATGTGCGTTGGTTTCTAAGACAATGCCGTTGCGTTGTTTTGCCTACGCTAAAAACAACAATAACAGCAATACCGTTTGCAATACAGATGTTGTCTTACGATAGGACAACATGTTACCGTCACGCTGGATAATATTTCATCTTATGAGGCAGCGGCAGAAACGTGGGAAGCTGGAATGTGCGACTTTATTCTGTGCTGCCGTCTCCTCTGGTTTCAAAACTCAAAGAGGTGCGTATATTAGCAGTTTATTGTCTTTGTCCGCTTGACTTGCAGTTCACAACAACAAGCTTGTTTCTGCAACAAAGTTTATTATGTTTTCTACAAAAACGTCTGACGTGTTTACGTTTTGCATGGTGTGAAAACGTGAAAAAGCTATGTTAAATCCGATCTGACCGATCAGACTGAAACGGATTTCCAGGAATTTGAATAGGATTCCAAACCACATACGAATGTAGCTCGAAACGGATTGGCAAAAATCGGATTCCCTGTAGATTTGCACAAAAATCGGATTTGGGCTGACAGTATGAACGAGCCGTAAAAGACAAGTAATGCAACGCCTAATATTTGTTTTTATCCTAGACCGTGGTTTAAGAGTGAATAAAGTATGCACTCGGTCATCAGATACTGTTTGTGGGCCACTAGAGAGATTCTACTGCATTGAAAAAAAGAAAGGCTGCTGCACTTTAGCTGTGCAACATTCGGAATGTAGCCCTGGACAATATATCAAACAAGCAGGTAAATGATAAAAAAATCCTATTATATAAACATACATGAAACATTGCTTATTGTTATCTGTGTTGCATTAAATATAATAGAAGAAGGAAGAAATGAATAGACAAGCACAACAGTGACAGTTTAATTTGCTGACTGTCTCTGCAGGTACTGGCTCCACAGATACTATATGTGCTGACTGTACAGGTGACACATATTCAAACGGATCTTTCTCATCCTGTTTACCACACACAAAGTAAGTGCTCACTTATGCTGTTTATGTGAGCTGTTGGTCATTTTTTTAACAAATCTGATCCTGCATATTATTCACAGATGTGAGGCCCTGGGACTTGCTGAAACAAATCCAGGAACACATTCATCTGACACCAAATGTGGAAATCCCTCTACAGCTGTAGCAATAATTACCCCTAGTGTTATAATAGTTACTTTAATATTAATTCTAGTAATAATTGTTTTCATATTTAAACATATTCAGAAGAAGAAGCAATCAAAAAGTTCAGGTAAGTGTTATTCAATTATTTTTTGTAGTATGAGATCTGTAGTTGTTTTTTCTATAATGGAATTTTCTATGACAATTCAACAATCAATTCAGGCTGGGACACTTTGATAATCATTCATATACACTGTATATTGCTACACTTAAAAATTATGGTGCTGTAGAGAGGATTTTACACAAGAGTTATTATTATTATCAATGTTGATTACAGTTGTGCTGCTTGATTTTTGTGATCAGGTAGCATTCAGAGGTTTGGGGTAAGTAAGATTAAAAAAGAAAAGACAATAAATATTTTTAAGTTTCAAATCAATGCCATTCATTTAATTTTTTCTATACATCAAAGAAACCTGAAATAAATTACATCAGGGTTTCCACAAAAGTATTAAGCAGCAAAAAACTGTTTTCAACCATGATAATAATACAAATTTTGAATAATGTCATATTAGAATGATTTATGAAGGGTCTTGTGACACTGAAGACTGGAGTAATGGCTGCTTAAAATTCAGCTTTGCCATCACATGTAAAATATTGTTAAATACATTAAAATATAAAACAGTTCTTTTAAATTGTAATAATATTTTACTGTATTCATGGTTTTACTGTGTTTTTGAGCAAACAAAAGCAGTTTTGGTGAGCATAAAAGATGCATTTCTAAAACATAAAAAAAAAAATCATAATTATTACAAACATTTGACTGGTAGTTTATTGTTAGTTACATTAATATATACTGTTCTCTCTCTTCTGTTCATACAGGGATACAGGTATGTTCAACTTTTTACATGAAAGAGAAAGTAAAACAAAGTTTGTTTACTATGTTTTAAAAATGTCTGTTTTTGTTCAAAAGGAAACAGGAAATGGTTTACATGAAAACGAAAGTTCAAAAGGTAAGAATAAAGTATATCATATAGACAAAGACATGCAAGACTGCAGTTATTCAGCTTATATTCATGATGAGAAACTTCAAAAACACAATATTAGATTTTAATTATGTGAGTTATATAATATTTGCTCTTCTATGGTTAGTTGACTCTGATAAATTAATGCAAAACATTCTTTGTGCTTCTGCAAGCTGAAAAGTAATAATGCTTCACTGTTTTTTCAGTTGTTGGCAGCAGGAAAATTGTTGAACCATTTGAAACAGAAGAACAAGTCCTGACAACCTGCGAATGACTACAGTTTCAACACTACTCAGATATTTCACTACATCTACTGAAGGAGTTATCATGATTGAAATTTAGCAGTTTGAGCCACAGTCATTGAAACAAAAGTCAAACAGCATCAAATGATTTTGCCATCTTCTATTAATCAATTACTAATGAAATACTGTGTGTGTCAAGCCTAAAAACAAAAGTAATATTGAATGTAACAACAATAATTACATGAGCCAGCATATTACCACTGCATTATCACTTTCTATAAGACCCTTGTTTACAGAAACAGTATTTTATTGCTTTTGCACAATTAAATATTTTTCTAAGGATTACTTAAATGTATGATAACAGCCTTTTTTTTAACAAAGTTAGCAATCACTTAAAATGTGAGCCTATCTGTGTGTTTTCGTTATCTCTATAGTGCTTTAGTTATCACATTTTGTCAGCTTCTCAAAGGCAATAACAGTATTATAGTATTGTACATCAGGGGCTGTATTCACAAAACATTTTATCTTACCACTAAGAGTTCTCTTAAATATCAGTAAAAGTTCTTAGGTAAGAGTTTCCTCTTAAAACCTATTCACAAGGATGCTGAGAGCAACTTTTACTAAGAAATGGAAAGAAATCTTAAGCTAAGAGGAAGGGCGGGTTTGACCTTGTTGCTATGGAAGATGTCAACAAGCTTACTATGCCCACAGTGATTGGCAGATGGAGGCCAATCAGTGATTTAGTCATAGAAATATTGGATGAGGTATCATATTGCCATATTCAAATAAAGGTTTTTTGAATAAAAGTGTTGCCATATTCAAATAAAGTATTTAAAATGTAAACGGTCACTAATTAAACACGTATGTTCAGCTAATTATCAGTCACTTACATGTCTGTATCTCATGAACAATTAGCGGATATGCAAATAAGCAGAATTTTAATTAACAGACATGGCTGATAGTAAGACATTGTGCAAACTTAAAAGAAAACCTAACTGGACCCAAGAAGGACATAATTAAAGGGAAATAATCATGAAATGTTTCTGAAATGTTTGTTATGATTTTAGGATTGTTTGTGATTTGATCATAGACTTAGGAGTCCTCTTGTTTTAGCTGGTTTACTTTAGGAGTCCTACAATTAGGATTGATGCATCCATTATTTGTTAAGAATTTCTCCTAATTCAGCAAGTTAGTAGCTACTTTATCCTAGATGTTTTGTGAAAATGGCCCCAGTTTATTCTGATAAACTGCAAAAAATAGACTATTTGAAATAGACTATTTTAAACTGTATATTGCAATGATATTATTGGTTTATATTTTGCATAATAAAAAAATGCTTGTTGTTGGGTAGTTTTGCTTTTGCACTCAGTAATATTTGTTTGTTGTTAGTAACAGTTGTAGTATACAGCATGTTGCAGATAGGTGGAAATGTATGTAGATAGGCGCAAAAGTGATTTTTTTTTCACTTTTTTGAAGGAAACGCATGTTCAAAATAACCACTTCAGAAAAGGGTGTACCATTTCCTGTTCACTCCAGTCACACTTGTTATCTCAACGCTTTTATAAAAAACAACTCATTTCCTGATTTTAGTAAACAAACAGTGTTTAACATTGTGACTAGAGTAGTCAACGTGGGCAGCAGTCAGTTGCACATAGTGGAAAAAGTCAATTTTCTGTCAATTCAAGTCTATCCCCCAGTGCTTGATCTCTGCTTATTTCTCTTCTGATTCAGATGAAATTTTCACAGGATAATAAGCAATAAAGGGCTCAAATTTTAGCTGGATGCAATGAGTCAAAGTAAAAAAAATAATAATAATTTTATGGATTTGTTCTACTGTTTTAGTTACAGTAGCAATTTGCTTACTCAGTAGAAGAACACATTACTTTGTGCTGAAGGCGAAAAAACCTTCAGTATTTGTGCCTGCTGCCTGCTAATTTGTAAACACACAGTAGGACATTTTGTCATGTGTTCGTTATGTTCCATGTAATTCTGGGGAACACACAATCCTGGGAACATGACTCTCCCTGATCCAATGGACAATGATTAGCTTACACTACAGATAAAAAAAAAAAAAAAAAAAAGACTCCACATACAAATCAGTCATTGTTTGAGTTTTTTTTTTTTGTTTTGGTGAAAGAATGTGAAACAATCACATCTTTCTCCTTCTGTGCCAGTGTCAAGTCATGCCCAACAGTTTGAATGCATTACAAAACAATACTATATAAATTAAATACATTATTTTAAATAAAACAAATTTCAGCATAAACTGGATTTTTTATTTTTTTTGTAAAGTCAAGTATATGCAGTCATGTTTTTTAGACTAGTTATCTCAGGTTTGCCAAATTTTCATGAACCTTAACCAACTAACTAAGCAGTGTTTGGAGAGCTAAAGCATGTTTAAAGATTGAAAGTAGATCAAGCTCAAGCTCATTTTATTACAGCCACTGAATAAGTGTAATAATATATTAACAATGGGATACTTTGTATCAAAGAATTGTACACAATCAGTCCCTTGCAAGTCACATGCTTATTCATTACTGTTGCCTCCCCTCTCAATAGATTGGTCTGCAGCTGTGAGAAACTTCTTATCCCTTTAAAGTAAGTGTTTTTCTTATGCTTTTGAGCTGGTAAATGGGTTTAATGAATGTATTCACTGCTTGTCAAGTTGATTGGGTAATGCCAAATATACATTTTTAGGATCTTGAGAAGAAAAAAATTGTCCTTGTCGAAACAGCTGCTTTTTAAAATAGCATTGTTTATGGTTTTTTAAAATAATTGCTGTTGAATTGGTAGTTCTCTTAAATATCAGTAAAAGTTTCCTCTTAAAAACTATTCACAAAGCTGCTGAGAGCAACTTTTACTAAGAAATGGAAAGAAATCTAAGGCTAAGAGAAAGGGCGTGTTTGACCTTATTGCTATGGAAGATGTCAAGTTTACAAACTATGCCCACAGTGATTAGTAGATAGGGGCTGGCTATCTGTCAGTAATTTAGTCATAGAAATATTGTACGAGGTATCATATTGCCATATTCAAATTAGAATCTAAAATATCACTGGTAACTCTTTACAATAAGGTCTCATTTGTTTACATTATTTCATGTATTAACTAACATGAACTAACAATGAACAATAGATTTAACATTTATTTACCTTTGTTAATGTTAAAAATGTTAATGTTCATGTTAGTTCTCAGTGCATTAGCTAATGTTAACAGATACAACTTTTGATTTAAAAAACATGTTGGTAAATTTTTTGATTAACACTAACTAAGATTAATAAATGTTGTAGAAGTATTGTTAATTGTTAGTTCATGCTAACTTATCTTGATGTTAATAAATGAAACCTTGGCTAATAAAGTTTTTAAAAGCATGTGAATACTAAAAGTCAACATTAAATGACGTGTTTACATGAAAAACATATTAAACGATATTCAATGATTCAAAACTTTTGGTTGTAGGTGACACACCTATCAGCTATTTTTTACTGAAATCTCTGCTATACTTTTGGGTCCTTTACTGTTTTTTTCCCCACTCCACAGAAAATGAAATCCATCAGAAAATGATCAGAACCTGCCACATCCAACACACAGAAGTGCTTCTGAAGTCTGATAGAAAGACTAAATCCACTATCAGCTCTTTGCACAGACACACTGAGTTGACCCATTTGACATCTTTATGAAAATGCAACTTTTGTTGATTATTTTATACATTGTTTCTATTGGCTTTCTATACATAGAACTCGCTTGTTGTGTCTGTGCCAGTGCTGAATATGAGATAAACGGACATTGCTGCCATATGTGTGCACCTGGTAAGTGAATAGTTCTCAGTAATAAAAGAGAATCACTTTAGTTTTTAGTCCAATTAGTAGTATTGTTTACAAGGAGAATTGCAAGATCTCTTGACTCGGGGCTAAGAAAAACTTTCATAGAAAAGTTTGCATTGTAAAAAGGAACCTTCTAATATCCTATATACTTTTTAAAGGTAATCGTGTTTTATGGCATTGCACAGTGGATACCAGCACGACTTGTGTATCCTGTAGTGCATCCACGTACACAGATGAACCTAATGGCCTTGAAATGTGCTTTTCCTGCTCAACCTGTGATGCAGGTGATGGTTTTACATTTATTTAGCAGAGAGTTCAGGATACCCAAGTGTATACAATCCTTTAACATGCTTCATTATACAATAATAAATGTTATGTTTCAATATATTTAGGTTTAAGGATACAGAAGGCCTGTACACGGTTATCAAATACCGTTTGTGAGCCACTAAAAGGATTCTTCTGTATGGTCAGAAAAAAAGGCAGCTGTAAATTAGCTGTTAAACATTCTCAATGTAATCCTGGAGAATACATCCAACAAAAAGGTATGGATGTTCTCATTTTTGGTGTAGATGTTACTAAAGCGAGTGCACAAATCATTGGCAAATACTACTCACAAGTTACTTGCATATTAGAATAGTCAGAAAAGAACACAAAATAATTATTAAACTAGACCTTATTTAATATATTTAATTTGCTATACACAGTTTTTTGTGATGAACTAAAACTGATGAACCTAACTTTCTGCATATACAGGCATTCTAGCTACCATAGTTTATATCTATCTAAATCACATTGCAAGTATCTGCACTCTTTAGCAAGCACCAGTTGATCTTGTGGATCATAGTTTTTGGTACTATGCAAACAAAGTCTTACACAGGAACCTATTTTTTGTGACTTGTTTGAAAAATTAAACCTTATTGTCAAATGTTACCAATTTTAGAATAACTGACCCAACGTATGTACTGTTCACACTGGGTCATTCTTAATATTGAATAAGCAATGTTAAAAACTAAACATTGAATACTTAGTGTGAAAAGCCCTGTAGTGTTTTGAATTGAATTGAAGGTAAGTGAATTTTTGAAACAGTTGATCTTCAAATGACTCAGTGTCCTAATATCTTAACAGGAACAGCAAGCACTGATACTGTGTGTGGTGAATGCACAAATGGTACCTACTCTGATGGCACTTTCACAGCTTGTCAGACACATACAATGTGAGTAGCTTTACACTAAAGTTTTACATTAAATTCCCATTCTAATAGGTCTGGACTTGCTAACATCACACTGTTGCATATCTACAGATGTCAGAGTATGGGTCGTAAACAAATAGAAACAGGAACAACGTCATCTGATGCTAAATGTGAACATACTCAAAATGGTCTTGTTATTGGAAGCATAACTGGTGTTGTGGTCGTTGTTGTTATTGTTGTTATTGGCGTCTCAGTAACCCAGTTTGTCATATTCAAACACAAGTCAAAGGCTCGTCCAGGGATAAAGTAAGGCTTTGACAGTTTTCCCCCATTATAATGTACTTTACATTTGTCTGATTAATGGTATTTTTATACCTCTTTAATATTTCAGGTCCGTCCAGGTCCAAAATGTTGGTGGAGGGCTCTTAAAGTACTTACATAATCCATGGACTTAATGTTACTTATTACATTTCAACCAGTCAAAGTGAAACAAAAAGAAACACTTTACTTGTTACTGACAAGCTGGTCACTGAGAGTGAGAAAACTATGCACATGTGTTCTCTTACCTATATAATAAAATAACATTACTACAGTACAGATTAAACACTGTAAAAGATTACAAGAAGAGGACAATGTAATATCATAAAAATAATTCTTCTTAACCAGCTACATCTGTAATGAAATGGATATCAACACACTCGCTGTTGATAACCATGATAAAGTTTATGAATCATTCATTACTCATTTTGACACTACTTGCATGATATGTTGAAATTAGACCACAATATAACAGTACTTGTGAATCATTTTTGTGACATGACATATTTGTAAATATATTAAAAATCTATATTTTTTTCCAATTTGAATCTGAATCTCTGTATATGTTCTAAATTTATTTGATACTCCATTTTATATTTGTACTTCTGCCTCCATTTTTTTGTAAATACAAAACAAATACATTTTCTATTATACTGTCACACTATTTGCCTTATAATACTGTACATTGCACATTATAAGTTTAGAAATATTTCTCATTCAGACATGTTGTGTACCAAATGTTACATTCAAAATGTTTCATGGTTGAGGTTCACTGTGAAAATAGCTCATTTCAGCTATAGCAAAAGTCTTAATCACTTTATTATTCACAGTAAATATGCTTTTTGTATAGCGACCGATAGAGCTCAACACGTTTGAGCAACTTTGTCAGTTTGATAACAGGTGCTACAAATACTCACAATGCAACCAAATACAGAAACGTGTTGCAAAGAGCAAAGACCACAACAGAAATGTTTCAAGAGGATCCCTACAAGTGACAAAAGTGGCTGTGACATAGGTCTAATAGATAACCTGCAAGATGAGTTTTTGTTTATTTTAACATCCTGATCTATATTTGGTTGTGTGTATTGCAGCGCGTTTCTGTATTTGCTTGCATTTGTGAGGTTTTTTGCAGTGCTGATGCATTCTTCTCATAAGCTAATTGAAGGCTGCGAAACGAAGACTCAAAAACATCGAGACGTCCTTCGAAGGAGCTTGATGACATGGCAGCCTAGATGTTATGCATCCTTTCCACTTGAGAAACATCCATAACAATGTGAAACAATTTTTATATACGTTTTGTTTCACTTTATTTTTTAATGTTTTCTCATGAAGTTTGACATGCTGAATTTGAAAATCACATTACATTTTATGTATCATTAACAGTAATCATTAAAAATAAAAAAAATATTTTGACAGCTTATAAAAGCTAATCTGTTATTATGCATGCATAGAAATTACGCATAATACTAAGCCAACAACAACAGTTTAACATAAACAGTGAGCTGTCCAGAACTTCAGAAGTGTACGTTGGGTGATTTTTTGTCTATGACTAGTCCTACAATGTTCTGGAATGTTCCAGAGAGCACTAGTTGTCACGCCCTTGGACTGCCCCTGTGTTTCTGCCTTGTGTTGTGCTCCCCGTGACCCAGTTTCTCCCGTGTTTTGATGGTGTTCATTGATTTCAGGTGTTTCTCGTTGAGTCCCTCTTCTAGTCATGTATTTAAAGAGTGTTCTGTAACTTGGTTCCTTTGTCCAGTGTCTAACGTCATTTCCTCGTGCTACGTTTGTGTCTCCTGGCTCCCCTGTGTTTCCTTTCTGAGGATTAATAAAGACTGTTATTCGTGAATGTTCCTACGTCTCCGCGCTCCTTTGTTCCTACACAGCAGCATAACCGTGACACTAGTATATTACAGTAACTTCTAGAATGTTCCCATCCTTGAAAAAGCAGATATTTTTAGTACAATTTATACAATAACATTTCTGCACATTAATTCATAATGATGGAAGTTCTAGAATTTACCTGACCTAAATACTTACCAAAATATTGATGCTACGTGAAAATAAATAGTACATAAAAATTAGCACTGAAGAACCATTAAAAAATGTGTTAGTGAAACAATAAGTGAAACAATTTTTTGTTAAATTGTGTAATCTGGCAGGCAGTCATTTTTCCACACCACTCTTTTCCTCACCTCTACTTTGTTGCTGCTGGCCCGGGGGGGAATTCCAGAAAGCAAGGTCACTTTACCATCACATATCCACCTTTTTCTTACCGTAAGAGTGGGCGTGGCTTCCGGTCTCATCCGTGTCCAGCTATTTTTAGCTGTACAAAACAGCTAGTTTTGCTGCTTGATATTGCAAATGGGTGTGTCTTACCATATTATTTTAAAGGGGTCATATGATGCGATTTAAATTTTTCCTTTCTCTTCGGAGTGTTACAAGCTCTTGGTGCATAAAGAAGATCTGTAAAGTTGCAAAGACTAAAGTCTCAAATCCAAAGGGATATTCTTTATAAAAGTTAAGAGTCAGCCACGCCTACCTAAAACGGCTTGTTCTAACACGCCCCCACATATCTACGGCCTAGAGCTGATCTGTGCTGGTCGCTGAGGGAATACATCAACTTAGTGCTGTGAATCGCCGGATCGGCTTTCACCGTGGACGAAGCCCGGGGTCGTCATATGTGCTTGCCGCTCCTTCGTCGGATCTGCCGGCTAAAAATCGATGCGTTTCAAAAAGGCGAGGCATAGAGGAGAAACAATAATGTACAGTATGTGGAAAATAATGTTTTTTTTACTTTAAACCGCATAAACACATTTCATTACACCAAATACACAAAATAATGTTCTTTTTAGCAGCATCATATGACCCCTTTAAAGCACTAATCATTCAGCAACAGGTGTTTCTAAGTTCTAGTGAACAATGACACAGGTTTAGTAAACCTAACCACAGGACCAGAAAGCCTCAATAAACTAACGAATAAGTCAGTCAACTCAACAATTCAAAAGAACTAATAAACACAACTCAAACAGTCAAAAAAAAAAAATGAGCGCGGCTGGCAGAAATGGACAGTCGCCCGCTGGCTGGAAAGCGGAACGGCTGACAGCAGCACACGAACCCGGCCGCCTTTTAAACGGGTAGGTCCATCCTGATTGGTCAACTGATGAACAGAGCAGCCAATAAACAAAACCTAAGAATTTAGAGCAGAAACAACAAAAGAGGAAAAGGAGAAAAGAAAACAGGGAGAAAACAAAAATACAAAACATACGAGGAACGTAACAGATGCAAACTAGGCCAGCCTACTACTGGCCTTTTTGAATTTCTCAGATTTTAATGCCATTTACATTATTTGCCACAGTGTAGGCTACATAGAAACATTAACGTAGCCATTTTCACCAGACATAAGATAAAAGTGAATGTTTGTATGTCGTTATATTTCTTCCGTAATTTTACGTGTCTAAGAAAATGTTTCAAAAAACTGTAAAAATGTATTTCTCAAACTTAGGCTACTGTATCATTGTAAATCTGAAGACTTTCGCTTTCAAGTGTCGTGATTAGGAAAGTTCTAAATAAGATATTTTAATGTAAACGTTTTAATGGTTTAATAATTAGGCTAAATTAAAATTTTTCTGTGATCAAAGCTGAATTTTCTGCATCATTACTCCAGTCTTCAGTGTCACATGATCCTTCAGAAATCATTCTATTATGCTGATTTGCTGCTTAGTTATTTTCAATTATTATTTGTGCTCAGTTATTAATAATGGTTTGGTTCTTATTATTATGAATACTGAAAACTGTTTTTGTTTCTTAATATTTTTGTGGAAACTGTGACACTTAACTTTTTCAGGATCATTTGTTGTATACAAAGTTAAAGAACAGCATTTGTATATATAACTAATTTGTAATAAGTATATCTTTACTGTCACTTAAATAAATTTAATGCAACCTTGTTGAATAAAAGTATTAATAAAAAAAAAAAATCTTATTCCAGACTGAATGGTAATGTATCACATTTTCCACAAAATATTAAGCAGCACAACTGTTTTCAACATTGATAATAATAAATGTTTATGGAGCAGCAAATCAGCATATTAGAATAATTTCTGAAGGATCATGTGACACTGAAGACTTGAGTAATTATGCTGACAATTCAGCTTTGATCACAGAAATAAATAATTTTTTAATATATATTTGCATAGAAAACAGCTATTCTAAATTGTAACATATATTTCACATATTACAGTTTACTGTATTTTTCATCATCAATAAAATTTGTCATCATAAAAAAAACTCTTTGTCAAGCAATTGAAAGGCACAATAACATCTCAGGTTACGTATGTAACCACGGTTCCCTCAGTAGGGAACAAGACACTGCGTCCTCTAGGGGTCGCTATGGGGAACACCTTCAGTGTGACCAGTGTCTGAAGCATATATCTAAAAACGACAATAACATTGGCTGGCGACATCCTATGACGTCACTACCGGTGCGACCATAGTATAAATAGGCACCGGGAGAGCACGTCATCCGCTTCTTCGTCTGAAGCTTGCGTCCAAAGCAT